CCTTGGGGAACTGTGCAGGGAAACCGAAGTGAAAAATCGGGTAGGTCATGTCTCATAGTCTCCTATGATTACTACCATGGATAAACTAGTTGTGTGTGATAAACTATACCTAGGTCAAGAAGATCATAAATGTATTATGCATGTCTGCGCCTACTGGTGAAGGAGCTTCTGAAAATGACCACGCCCCATTAATCTTGAAGACAGGACCACATTTTTTCATGATCAGAGCATACCCTGTAAGGTCCCTAGGGTACCTCTTGTTTCGTGAGACTCTGATTTGGGGTGGTCCTACATGTTCAGGAGGACTACAACCTCATGCATCCAAGCTATTTGCATGCAGTGAACCGCGCATTGTCTCATCCACCCAACAGTGCATTCGCCTTAACTGGATGCGCGGGCATGGTTCTAGGATCTGAGCTCAAGGACTGCATGATATAGGGGCTGGGCATCAGGATTTTATGTCCTTGGGCCCGGATTTTGTGTCTACTTTGCTACGCGTTCGTTTGCGGCCTTGTTTGGGGTTCAGGGTTTAGGGCTTAAGGAACATCACAAAATCCTGCAAGTCATGAATCACGTGGCCCGCTACATGGATCCTACCCCCTCCTATCCCCCCTCCTACACCCCTCAACCCTAAACCCTAGCCATCAACCCTGAGCTGAACCCCTCATTTTTGAAGCAGAGTCTAACGTGCAAAGCACATGAGAACGTCTCAATGCAATCTCTAACCCAGATCTCTAACCCAGAAATGTTGGGGGCTATATTGGGATAATGGAAAATGAAATGGAAACTACTATTTAGCGTTTAGGGTTGAGGGATGTAGACCCCTGATTAATGAGCCTTCTCCCCTTAATAGGGATTATAACAGGGATCCTAATATTAAGGCCGTTAAAGGAGGGGGTTTGTGAATCATGGATTTACATTATGCCACACCCTGGGCAGCCCCGGACTCTTTTCGCAGTGCCCTGTGCGTCAAGGGCACCCCACAATTCGAGAAATGCAATCTGTGAGCTTCTCTGAAATAGTTCTCCAAACCCGAAGAGCACCCCATGTAACTTTCTCCGAAAGTGCATTCATCGACCTAAACCCCAAAAGGTTTAAGGTTATAGGAGCTATAGTCTAAACTCCGTAAAGGGGGATTATATAGGGGAGTATTATAGGGCTTATTAAGGGGGATGCTAGGAGTTTAGACTATAGTTCATATAAGAGCTAGTATCTGGAAATGCACACATAGACCTGAGCAGTTTGGCCTAAGGCTGGCCCTTGGCCGTAGACCTCATGGCCGACATGCAGCCAAGGCATGACCCTAGGGATCCAAATAGCCCAATCTAGGTAGCATGTATAGACTTAAGGTTTGGGGTAGACTTAGGGTTTAGGGTCTGATATGGTCTGATGAGGGTTTAGGGTCTAGGGTATAAACTTAGGCCTCAATGTAGGTAATATTTAATGTTTACAGACTTCAGGGCCCAATGTAGGCACCATTTGCACTAAGGCCCGATGTAGGTAAAATCACAGAATTTGGGGCCCAATGTAGGTAGTACTTGTATACTTGGATCCCCAGAACCCTAAACCCTAAAACCAAAAATCCTAAACCGTAATCCTACACCCTAAATCCTAAAAAGCAAGCCCTAGACCCTAAATCCCTAAATCCTGAATCCTAAACCGTAGACCCATAATCCTATTCGTATACTTGGACCCATAGAATGGCTTCAGGGAGGCTCTCTGAGCCTCGCGACAGTTTAGGGGTTAAGGGTTAAGAGCTTTGGGTTTTGGGCTTACAATGTTTAGGGCTTAGAGTTAAGGGCTTAGGGTTTACAGTTTAGGGCTTGGGGTTTAGGGCTTAGGGTTTGAGGTTGAGGATTAGTGGATTTACATTGGGTGCTGCCCCCACCCCGTAACAGTTGCAGCTCTTATTAAGACCCCTTTTATGGAGCCAAGATTTGCATTTGCTTCGGGGCTTAGGGGCTATGAAGTGAGGGCTCGAGGAGCTTTTTAGGCTCAAGACGCTGGGGCTCAGGACTCACAGGGACGGTTTAGGAATGCCCCAAAACCCTGAACCCTTAACCTCTTCGTTAGAGCTTACGTTGCCAGTATCGGGGATTATGTAGCGGGTACTCTCTAAAGATCCATTTCTCCATTCCCCACTCGCCGTAAGTAAGTAAATGTATAAGTAAGTCAGTGAGTCAGTGAGTGAGTGAGTATGTAAGGGATTCGCTTGCCACTTTGGCCTTAGAGTCTGGAAGGCTAAGGATGCAGGATTGAAGTTTAATCCGTGTATACCCAAGATATTATCATAAGGGGTTAGGTGTTTAGGGTTCAGGGTTTAGGGTTTAGGGTTCAAGGTTTATATACCCAAGATATCCCAAGATATTCTCATGAGGAGTTAGGGGTTTAGGGTTCAGGGTTTAGGGTTTAAGGTCTAGGGTTAAGGGTTAAGGGTGTTCTATTGGGCGCCCACAAAAGGTAGCTGCAAGGTTCTGTACTTTAGGGTTTTTTGTCTCCGATAGCCTGCTTCCTGGAGCAATCCACATGTCTAGGCGATGGCTGACATGATGAACCCCTAAGGTGCTGGCTGCGGTTATATTGGAGTTATATAGAAGGATATGAACCCAAACAATGGAGAATCAAATGGTAAACAAAATGGAAAATGAAATGGAATCTACTATGTTGGGATCATATTAGGGTGATATTTTTGAACCCATTACATGATCAGGATGTTAAGCAGTGTTCCTATTAGCCCGGATACATAGAAGCAGTACATCTCCTATGCGACAACCGTGCTTGTCTTAACCACCCAAAGGTAGACCCTCTGTGCGACGGCCAAAACTACACGACTTCCAACTGTGACCCATGTCGACATGAATGGCACATACAGCCGCAGTGAATGTCGTTGGTTGAAATCTGCACACACAAGCAGGCAAATGAAGCTCTCAAGTAGCCTCAGTGGCTCCCAACCTAGTTGAGGGCCAAGCCCTTTTATTCTGAACTTGCTGCCAGAGCCTAAACCCTAAATCTCAAGGCCTAAACCTTAAGCCCTAAACCCTAAGCCCTGAGCCCTATGGCTTATGTGGGACAGGTCCCTCCGCCTCAGCGCTGCTACCATGACTTCAGTCATGCCAAGCTCAGGCCAATGGCCCACAGCGCCGGAGTCCCAGGAAAATATAAACTCCTTAAAAAGGGCTTTATCGGGGATTATATAGGGAAGTATTATAGGCTGTATCTAGGGGTATACTAGGAGTTTAGATTATAGCTCATATGAGCTATGGTCTGAATACCTTAAGGGGGTTACATAAGGTTTGGAGATAAGGGTTTAGGGTTTAGGGTCTAAACTCCTTAAAGAGGTTATATAGGGGACTATTGTAGTGTTATTTAGAGGGATCTTACATTAGCAGTTTAGAATATGGCTCATACCTTTTTGTGGAAGCTACGGAGTGACCTGAAATTTCAGACATCCCTAAGAGTCACGGCCAGGCTGTTCCATATTTTTTGTGACGGCCGGGGTCCTTCATGTATGTGTTTCGGGCTGAAGTTGGGCTTATACATTGGGGTGAGGGCCGTGCAAGCAAGAAATCGGTGGGATTAGGCTTTGTTTGGGGATTTCCAACCCTAACGCCTGAACCCTCTTTGTGCCATAGTCTAAACTCCCTAAAGGGGGTTATTTTCCAGATTGCGTAGACTATTATAGGGGTTATTCAGGGGGATACTGGGAGTTTAGACGATATAGTCATATTGGCCCTATACCCAGTTTTATAGTCTCCCTGAGGGTCCTGTGACGGAAGCTTGCTAACCCTAAACCCTCAACCCTAAACCCTAAGCCCTAAACCGTTGCAATCAAACAAGTTTGGTGGCTTGTGGCTACACGGGCTTGAGGCAGGTTGCGGTCAAGGAGGTGAAGCCAGGTTCCCACGAAAACGAAACCATTTACTACGGTTAAGGGTTTAGGGTTTAGGGTTTAGCCCACTTGTACTTTAGGTTGCTTAACAACTCCTCAGCAATGGGAGCGAGGCATTCTTTTGCGGACTTTGCGGTACGTGTTCGTTGACAGGCCTTCATCCCCTAGTAGGGCTTGCCCCATGATTGCTCTTGGCCGTAGTTTATCCACATTGTCCACCTCACGCCTTCCCGATGACATGGAAGCTTGCTGGTAAGGCTCCGGCTTTTCCCGGCGTTGCGGACACAGGGCCTGCATCTCAGCCTTGGCCTTCATTCCAACTAACTAGGGACAAAGCTCCCACTCCCACTGCTCTGTTTCTACATTGCGAAGGTTCCAACTTATTTGGGTGAGATCGCGTTTTTGCGTCAGCGGCGCGATGGGGGGCGGGGGGTCTTGCATAATCTGAAGGCAAGAATGCAACAAAGCAACCAATTGCGGCTCTCATCTTGTACCATTGCGACTACATCCTCCCCTCAACTGATTTATGGCGCATTCTTAAGTGATCTTTTCAGGTCTTCAGCGTTCTCGAATTTTAGCGTCGCATCTAGGATAGTTATCTAGTGAGCCTTACATGGAGTATGGCCCGGAGACCCAGAAGGGGAATTGATTTTGACAACACCTGTGCACAAGGGCGATGCTCAAGCCTGAATGATCACCGACATCATTCCCTTGCGCTTTTACAGAAGTTCAATCCCAAATCTTCAGCCTGATTCCCCCAACCCCCCTCCCATGCCGGGAGTGTTGCGTATTGACGGCTCATGAAGGGTCAGCTTAGTAAGCAGGCTATAAATGAGTCTAGAAGTCACTAGTTAGGATCCGAACGGTTTTGACCCCCTTTAAAACCTAACACTTACAAAGTCCCCCGAACCGCTTAGTTAGAAACTCACCGTTCAAGTTTTACGCTGAACCCTACAACCTACGGATCCAAATAGCCCAATGTAGGTAATGTTTATAGACTTTAGGGCCAATGTAGGTAGTATTTAGATACTTGGATCCCCAGAATAAGCCGAAAACCTTGACCCTAAACCCTAAAAGCTAAGTCCCCAGGGATAGCCTAAACCAGTTCGAGGCTTGCGCGTGGATGTTGTCGCCGGCAATGTGGTCTTGGGCTCCGCCCTGAGCGTCTGCGGTCCTAAACCCTATAGGGTTTTGGGTTTAGGGTATAAGGTTTAGGGTTTAGGGTTTTGGGTTCAGGGTTTAGGGTAAGTATCTACTTAGATAGCGAAATTTGGAGCCTTTGAATCGGGTTTTTGGCAGTGATCTAGGGATAAATGATAGAGGGATTGGGAGGGACATGTAGGGTTCAGGGTTTCAAAGATCAGGGGTCCCTTCTTGGCACGATTTGTTACGAGTATGAAGATTACAGTATATTGGGGTATCTAAGGGGGACCCCTACTGATAGAAACTACCTGATACTTGCTGGCCCACATGAGCATGAGTGAGTGAGGTTATGACAACATTAATAATAATAATAATAATACTATTAGTAGTAAGAATAATCGCAATAATGGGAAGAATAATGATACTAGTACCGTTCGTAGTAACAATGCCAATAGTAAACCCTAAGCCCTAAACCCTTTTTTGTGAGTAGGTGAGTCTCCGCCTTGCGCGCCCTCCGGCCATTCAAAAGGGTCGAAATGAGTTCCGGTATGCGTGTCGGGGTTTTGGGTTAGGGTTTAGAGACAAGGCTCGAATTCCATGCTTTTTAGGTACTTGGACCCTAGAGCTGTGAGCTTTTCACATAGGAACCTCTTTCACTCGAAGCTTGGTATCCTCCAATTTCCTGAAACTAGCCCTGAACCCTAAACCCTAAACCTTAAACCCTAAACCTTGAACCTTAAACCCGAAACTGTATTTGTGACAGCTCCATTCAGAAATCCTAGGGAGGATTTATCTGCATGACCCTCCTTACTTCCTTACAAAAGAAGCCATGCTAGGGCATGGAGGGGGGCAAAAATCAGTTATGGGTGGTCCTGCCTCTGAAAACTGCCAGATGATAGTGGGCTTAAGTGCCCTTAACCCTAAGGGTCCAAGGACCAAATAATCTGGGCTCTAGGTCCCAACGACCGTTAATATTATAGTGTTTGGGCCGTACAGCACTGTTATTTGGGTCCTTGGACCCTTAGGGTAAGATACAGGAGCCTCTAAGAGATGGCTAGGTGAGCTTCGTGCGCACCCCGCTGGCCTCTTCACTCTCAGCTTGTTTAACTGTACAAGCTGACATGCTTGCCAGTAGTGCTCTCCTAGATTCCTTGTATAACTATGATACAGGGTGCCTCAAATACACATCAAAACCCAAAACCCTAAACCCCTAAACCCCTAAACTAATGTTGGTAATTGTTTCGGCTTGTGTTTTAGAAGTGCAAAGAGCGCAGGACCTATGATCTCGTGATGGGGTTAAGGCCATTCCCTGAGACCTTTGTTTATGACATGTACCCTGGGCTTTAAGTTTATAAGCAGTACCTACATCCGGCCATAAAGTCTGTAAATATTACCAGCATTGGGTTTCTGGGAGCCCCTAGTAAGGGTTTATGACCATCTCAGAAGCTTAGCTCGTGCCACATGAGCCATCCCGAGGCAGCATGTCTGCTGGAAATACGGGCAGCCGTTGGTCGCAGGCAAGGGCTTTGCGGGCTTGAGTGTTTTAGTGTAGACTGGAAATCAAGCTGTTAAGTCTTCGAGGAGGGCTTCTGGCTTAGGATTTTGGAGCTTTCAGCGTCTTCTGACATAGGATCTCTGCGCTGATAGCTCTGAGAGTTCTCAGGTTTAGTTGCTACAGGCTCATGTTGACAAAGTTTCTGCTTGAAACAAAACCCTAGAGCGTAATGACGCAATACCTGCGCATGCATGAACCCACTATACAAAAATAATATAGTAGTTTACATGTTCTTCTCAATTATCCGTATATCTATATATATATATACATATATACGCCTGTATAACCCGATATACAAAGGTTTACGGGGCATCGTTTCCACCACCATTTTGTCCTTCAGCCCCCGCGCCAGGCTTTGGCGTCCATGCTGTCGTCGGAGGCACGTCTAGGATCAATTGTGGTTATGCTCATACAGGGGTCAGGGCTTACATACGGTTTATATGGGGATATAGAGGGATATGTTGGGGTGGGCTTCCAAGCATTAGCCCGGATGCTAGTATGTTAGGTTTGGGTCCCATCTTCGCGTTGGGTTGGGGTTCATAGCTTATATATAGGGTGGGCCAAGTGTAGGGCAGTCTCATGAAACAAGGGGGAAGGTTGCTGGGTGAGGTTATCATTTTGATCCTACCTTGAAGGGGGGATATATGGGGTTCTATATGACCTTGATAGTCGTATCCATTTTCTTGTCCATTATGCCTATATAACCCCACTATGATACCCTATAACCCCTATAATCCACTATAGTAGTTTTCATGTTCTTTTCCATTATCCCTATAATCCCTAAGCACGCTGTTATCTACCTTTGAGACTTTTTGGTGAGGTCCTTGACGCGCTTGGATGTGGGCGGATTCAATGAAGGGAGTCATCATCTCAGAGGATAAATCATGACATGATGTACAGCCTCCCCGGTAGAACCTGATCGAATCTCGGCCTAAACCCTACACCCTAAATGACTTTAAACCCTAAACACACCAGCTTGGCCAAGCTTCGTGCAGGCAGAGGGGTTGCACTCTGACCAAGTGACGTTTTCCGCAGTGCCTGGGACCCAGCCTGCATCGAGAGTTTCAGGTTCGCTTCATTTTTTCCGGGCTTTATAAGGGTACATCAACAGTTTGGAGGAACTCTCATTTTTTGGACATCTCCAGAAGCTGTTTTGTTGGTTCGAAGCTAGTGTATACCGCACCCCTCACAGTAATTAAGCCCGCCGTACTACTTTGATACCAAGGATCGCAAAGAACATAGGACAATGTAGAAGCCTCAAAAACTGCCATCACCCAATAGTATGGCCCGAGATACCTTGTAAAATCACGGTATTGCGTTGCGTCAAATAGACCTCAAGATGATATTGGTACTTCTTTAGGTACCTACAATCCTCTACATTACCTCAAGTTTCTTGTCTTGAGAGGTGTAGCCTCGGGTAGCAGACTCATACTTAGTGTTTCTCAAAATCCTACCCAGAGGAGTATAGAAGCCTACTCATGGGTGTCAAGGTTTACCTTTCGAGCTTCACATTCATTGCAATCTTGCTGGGCCGATTGTTTTCAACCCTTCTGTGGAGTTGAGTTGTTCAATGTCATGGCCATATGTACAATGAATTAGCTGCATGCAGGGTAGTGAATTTGAGATCTTTGTAGTGATGGGCCTCGTCTTGTTTTCTCTGTAACGTCTGGGTCTTTAGTACGTGAGCACTTCTGGTACTACTGCCACGATCACAGTGGCTTCGACGAACACATTACTTAGGCTCCTCCTCCTCCTCCTCCTCCTCCACCCTCCTCCGTATCAGTTACCATCCTTTGTTGCAAGTGTGTGATGACTTTTATTTTATTCTAGCAGGGTAACTAAAGCTGTTATCCTGTTACCAATGCTATTGCTGTCTAGGGCGCTTTGTCTACAACAAAGGTTCTCGGCCTGCGAGCGCAGTGAGTGCTGGCAGCAGGCAGCTGGAGATAGGGTCGACAGTTTAGCGCTCAGGGGTTTAGGATTTAGACTTAGGGGTTCAGTTCAGCGGTTTAGGGTTTTAGGATTCAGGGTCTACGGTTCAGGGTTTAGGGTTGAGTGTTTCAGCGTTGTCCTGGTCAAGAAAGCCAGGGTTGAGCAGTTTGAAGTTGAATGACGAAGCAGCCCAATATCCTGCAATTTATGCTTGAAGTGATTTTCCCAGGATTGGCGCACTGGAGTTTTTTAGCATTAAGGGCTAAGCACTGGAGTTCCGGGCTGTCAGCTCAAGCGATTGTCTGGTAGCCCAATTTCTCAATGGTGCCTCAGGGTAGTGGAGGAGGGAATATGAGTACTACTCTGGTTTAGGGCTCTGGTGTTTCAGGGGAGTGGAGGACGAAATATTAGGGCTATACTGGGGTATTCTACACGGATCATATCCACAAGAGTCTCGCGAAGAAGAGACCGTAGGCTGTTACTTGGTTATAGCTTGGGTGTTTGCTACCTAGCTTGGAGGAAACCTCCGCTAGCCTCAATTTGGCCTGTCTCCCTACATGACCTTAATTAAGAGGGAACTTAGGGGGTTGTATAGAGGGGTGGTAGTACTTGGAGGGTCAGGGGGGACTAAGTTTGTAGGTTAATAGCCCCCTATAATGCGCATAATACCCACAATTATCCGCAGTATACACCCTGTACTTACTTGGTCCCATGACCCTCCAAGCAATGTAACCCTAAACCCTAAGTAGAAGGGAAGCCATCGGAGGTGGGCCCCTCTCTTGACTTGCCAGCTCGACGTCCGCTCAATCGTATTCGGGTAAGACCAGTGCTTCATTCATTTGCCTACCTGGTTTCCCGGGCCTCTTGCATGTGTGATAATTAAATCTTTTTTGAGCTCTCTGGAACTCACCATTGTTCAGCCTATCATCCTCTGAACCCTAAACCCTAATTTGTCCTAAACCTTAATTTATCCTACGCCCTGAACACTAAACCCCTAATTTTCCCTAAGCCCCACATGGGCTGTTCTCAAAATTATGGGCCCCTTTTGGTCGCAGACTATATTACGGCACCCAGTATGTAGGGGTACTAAAATGGGACCCTTATTTTGGGAACTACCCAAATCCCCCAAAGTAAAATCCATGAAGTCCTTAAAACCTAAACCCTACGCCCTAAATCCTAAACCCTGAATCCTAAACCCCAAACCCTAACGTCCTTAAACCCTGAGCCCTAAACCCCGAAAAAGCCTGGTAGGCTTCGGCCTTGCTTCTGCAACATATGCTGCGCCGGCCATGTGCTTAGTGAAGAGCCATTTAGATTGGGGTTTAGGGCTTGGTGTCTGGGGTTTAGGGTGTAGGTTTTGGGCAGGGTTTAACGTTTAGGGTTTTGGGTTTTGGCTTCAAGGATTGTCAACAATATGAAGATGTTCTGGTTCACTCATACAGGGTTTATAGACTTTGTGACGGGCTTGCTTTGATCACTTAGGGCTTTGGAGCTAGGATTGTTTGAGCGGCATAGCGTCAGTCGCAGCAAGGAGTAGGATTTCATTTCGCACCAACCCATGCGTATCATCACAGGATGACGTCAATTTTCTGCTTAACTTGGTTTGTCGGGGCAGGTGCAGCCCCCCTGCAAAAATTGCAGGCGAAGCATAATATAGGGTCACCATGGATGCTGTAGGATTGTGATAGTAGATTCATAGATGATCCGTTGGATTCCCTAACCCCTGAGCCCTAACCTCGTGACCTGAAATGGGGCTCAGGAAAAAAGATCCTCAGCACTAACAAACATGACCCTCACCCCCCAAAGCGGTAACTCCTGACTGCAAAACTATATGGGTGGTTGTCAAAATTATGGTCCCTTTTTGGGTACCCTAGATATTAGGTGCCGTATTATAATAGGGATCCAAAAAGGGACCATAATTTTGACAACCACCCATATTAGAGCTAAGCGA